ATACAAGGGTTGGTTACCTCGGAAGAGATAAGACGAAGAATTTGAATAAAAATAAGCACATACATATTCTAGTACTTTATGAGAACAACGCAGCATGAATTTAAATTCTGAACTCAACTAGTCCAGTTTGTCAGTTCACATTGGAATTCTGATATCATCCAGTTTGGTTTAGAATTCTAACTTCAACTAGTTCAGTTAGGCACCATTCGTATCACAACTAGTTGACGTTAGAATTCCAATCTCAATCAGTTGAAATTAGAATTCTATTCTCACCTAGGTGAATTTCGAATTCCTCTAGATTCCAATCTCAACTCCGACATATATACACCATTTTTCTGAACGGACGATGATCGTTTTCTCTTAGCTAAAGAGAAGATGCTTCGACTACAAGATATTCACGTAGATTAACGTACAAAGAGCTAGATGACAGTGGCGGATCTAGCACTACGGCGGTCCGACGACCGCCGCCCCCTCGCAAATGAAATTCTAATGGAGCACACTACCAGACTTCCTTAGAAAAAATATTCGTACTACCTCGGACGACATCGTTTAGAAATCACCATTCCGTCGGTAGAATCCGGATCCCGCACTGCTAGATGAAGCATAAATTTTCCTGCAATGTAACTAATTACTCATTCCGTAAACAGGTGTTGCATTAACTCTTCCAACTTTCATCGTTGCATAAAATATAGGCTGTAAGTAGTAAATTTACTTTGCAGTTTACCTGAAAACTAAGTTCGTGTGTTTGAGACTTCTATTACCACAACACAGATTTTGTGATTTTCAAAAGTTTTAGTTTAGATAAAATATTATATATAGATATTTCTCCGTTTGTATTCTACAAAAAAATAAAGCTTAAGTCAACTGTGTTGAATTGATGGGATGTTATAGTTGCGTATTTAGAATGGCTCATTTTTTCTTGCTATATAAATTGATGGCCAATCGCCTATTCGTATAGAAAGAACGAAAGAAGAGTCATTCTGAATACGCAGTTAAATATTTATATTTAAAAGAAAGATATATAAATAGTTTGTCAAACGAAATAGTCTAAAAGGCGTTCTACTGTAGAAACGTGATGTTGTTTTATCTGATCTTTTTTTTGGTTCATAATGTAGCCTAGTCTATACTAGATTACATCACCCTTTCTTTTCTGTATGCATCTTCATGTCTGACATAGATATTTGCATGCGATATCAAGAATAAGATAAAGATACGCTAAACGAGAAAACTGTACAACTGACATTAAGTAAAAGAAAGATATGCTCAGATATTACAGACGAAAAGGCCGTCTTGATAATATAATAAAAACAAACATGTTCCTACCTGTTCGTCTGGCGTATCTATAAGCATATCTTTGTTTTCCTTTATGTCATATCTCTCTATTCTGCAAAAGGGTAAAAATAGCTGTTGATAACAGAAAAAACGATGAAGCTCGGATCTATACTATTTCAAGTTACGTGTCATCAAATCTTCTGTGATAGAAAAGTAGAGTAGTTAAAATAAGTAGTAAGTTTTAATCTTACTCTGGGGTGGGAAAGTAACCTGAAGTCTCAGTTCCATTTAATGGAAAAAGAATGAAGCTAGAACTACACTCATAACTTGTTTAGTTCAACTTTATGCTTAATAAAGCACTGGAAGAATAAAATGGTAAATAAAAACAATGCTGAACTGATTTTTCAACTCACACATTAAAAGAGAGAAAGAGAACGCAAGGATATATGTCGTGCATATGCGACATATTTGCTATGTCTCTTTTCACTTATAGAAAAGAATAAGAAATGAGTGTCACATTCACTTTTACTCTCTTTTAGTTCAAAAAATATATAACAAATATTAGTTCAGTCAAAATAATACAAGATATTTATTCAATCAATACCATGTTGTAAGTAATACCTCGTTTTGTCTTTTACCTATCAAACAATCGTTCTATCTTTCTGAACATGTTACTTGGATCGAATTATTATCTTTTTGTGTGAATCGTGAGTGCCTCATTAGTAGTATTCCTTGAATTCGTTAAAAACGGCAGAAATACGTTTATTTTAAAGGAGATATCAAGCTTTGAGAATAGAAGAAATTTATCTCATACAACAGAAAACGTGTTAATCTCTAACGAAAATCGCATAATCAAAAGTGTTGAACAAAACAGGAATAACTATCTCTTTTTCTTTCTTTCCCACGTGTTCTCGCTTTGTGTATAGAATTGTCGTTGTTTTATTTCGTTCCACTGTCACTTGACATTGTCGTATACCGTACAATCCATCAAATACAAAATATTGATCATTGTCCGTTCGGATCATTCCAAAGAAATGTCCATTATACACACCTTCTCCCAATCCAACATACATCACAAAGGCTTGCAATGAATAGCTGAAATTAAGATAATGACGTATATACTTCTGCTCTCTGCATCGGATACACGCCTTGCATGAGAAAAGACTCACGGTTGGGAAGACAGAATTGTTTAAAAATCCAATTTTGACGGAGATGTTTTCTATCTAACAACAATAAAAAATTGCTTCAGAAGAATTGAACAGCGAATCTTTTTAAACACAATGTCCGTATTCAGAAGCGTTTAATGATCATTTTGTAAAAAACAATTCGATAAAACATACTTTACTGATTTTTAACTTACTTTTACAGATTAAAAATTGATCCATTTTCAAATTAAAGTATCATCTCAGAAAGCTGATAAAATTCATCAAAAACAAGGTCTGACAGAGCCTAAAACTGAATAGAGGCGAGATTTTCAAAAACTTCAAGTTAAAGAAAACAAGGACTTTCGGAGGTATTTCTACAAGCACTATTTTTAGAAGTTGTTTTTAGTATTCAGGTTGTTTGCCTGCAGACTTTCAACCAAAGCCGCCAGCTACTAATTGAAAAAACCTAAAATACAACGATTTAAAAGGTTTCACTTTACAATATATGGTTTTTAGAAATACTTTCGAAAGTCTTTGTTTTCTTTAACTTTTTTTTTTGAAAATTTCGACCGCTATTCATTTTTTGAGCTCTATCAGATGCTTGTTTGTTGAGAAATTTTACCACCTTCCTTGCCTTGCACAAAGTGCGCCGTTAAAAATCGTCAAAATCGAAGATTTAAACAATTTCGCCTTCCGAACCGTGGCTCCTTTTCTCATGTACGGTGTGTATCAGATGAAGAGAGCAGAAGTATATACATGCTGCTACAGTAAGATCTGGTACCTCTGTGACTGAATCCAAATCGTCGGCGGAATACCATGTAATGTTGTTGTGTTTGGAGGGAGGTTTAAAATTACGAATGGAGGTACGTTGATAAATTCAGCAACTTTTATAACCCGATCCATTTGACATATGACGGTTTTGCTGAAAATAGTATTTTATGTGATAAGAAAAGGTAACCGAGAAAGAACAGGAAAGATTGTTTCGAGCTAATCCTTACACTAATCTACTTTTCTTTGTAATAGCATCCACTTCTTCTCGTGTATCAAACGCCCATTGACCATTGTATAATATTTCACCACCTGAATAATTGTCGATAATTTTATAGCGGCAGGGAATTACTGTTTCAAATTCAAATTCTTCTATTAGCTCTGGAAACGTGCTAGATTCGCCTTTGCTGGAAAAAGACGAAGGAAATGAGCTGTTATGAAAGTTTTTAGTTGTAAGACTTGTTAGTAACCTACTTGAGTGATAATTCCACATGATTATTTCGGATTATCTTCTTTGAACATTCGGCGTGGGTACATTCACTTTCAATCCGATACGTCTGAATTTGTTTGATCGAATGAAAAACGGATTGGTCTACAGAACCGTATATATCAGAGTTGTGATTGTTTCGTGTAATCAGATTTTCGTCCAATAGCCAGTAAATTCGTCCAGCGTCCCACCCTTTTTTTTCAATCAGATTAAATGTTTTTTCTATTCTTTGACATATAGGTATATTCATATTGTTTGATACATATTGGTGAATGCTGTTTGATGAACGATAGAGATAATAGATAAGAAAGAGTCCAGTGTCTAGATTACAAGTGTTTGTTATCGTGTATAAATTATTTTCATAGTGATAATTTCTAATAGACCATGTAGGCCATGTGATATTTACGTTGTTAATCATGAATCTTTTATCATTAATCGTAGCAGTTGTTGTTGCTGATATTGTCAAACGAGGTGGTGAAGAATTTTTAGAAAGAGGAAGTGTGAGAGATTCACTTGATTCATTTGAAGATAATTCTGTTGTGTTTGATAAGGTTTTATGTTTATGATCATTTTCTGAAGGTAGATCATTTTGCTGATTGTTTTCATCGCTAAACGATAAGATAAAAGAAGACAGAATGATTGATTGACTGAATCAGTCATATCTGTATAGAAAGGCAATAGTGCAGTTTTACATATAAATAGTGATAATTTTTCTACACACACCTTTTATGATCGAACGATCCGTTAAAATCAATAATGTCTAACAAACTTTCCTCTTCTTCGTCTGGTGTTTCATAATCAACATCATATGTTTGTTTTGAGATAGCATCACGTAAATGAGCAAGTTGTGTTCTTGTCAATAGTAATAGCATCTGGCATAAACGTCTTTTTAACATTTGCCGAAAATACTCCCCCTTCTTATTCGAACCGACAAAATAGTCTCGAGTAAGAAGTTCATTGAGTCTTTCAACCCCTTGTAAACTAAATGTGTTTAAATTGTCAAAATGATCGAAAAATTCAAATAAATGAGTTGAGAATACGTGTATATAGGGAGTAATTTGGTCAGTACCGAATAAATGAGCATATCCCAATCCCCATTCTATACATTCGCTTTTTAATTTTGACACATACTGTTGTTTTTCATGTACGGAAACATTTGCTTTACATTCATCAATGATCTTAAAAAAATCTTGGATTAGTTTTTTAATTTTTACACCTTTTTCTTGGTCTTGAACAATAACTTCTAAGGGCATTGTTCTAGTGTATTTATCGTGCCTGGATCCATTCATAGAACTGGCCACTTCGATTTTTTTGTTTTGCATTGAGAATCGTACATAAGTCTAAAAGGATTATTCTATAGTCTGTAGATCATACGATAGAATAAAATCGAAAATAGAAGCTTTCGGAAGACCGCAAACGTACTTTTGTTTCTTTCCCGTACTCGGTAAAGAACGTATACGCATTTGCCAATTGTGTTTCAGCATCTTCAATTGTAATTGATCTCTTGTTAGCTGAATCAACCTTAAGTTCGCATGCAGCTTTTATTGCTTGTTTCAGAAGAATATCAGCAATTCTTAATTTCATGTGAAGCAAATCCACTACGATATTTTTGTAACTATGTGAAAAACTCAAAGATGTATTAGCAGGGCTACTGTTAGGAAATACTCACTCAAAATAATTTTGATATAATGGCTTCCTAACATATCCATAATTTAATTCATTTGAGTTTTTACCATTGCCTAATATTTTTTGATGTTCTGTAATTGTACGTGCACCTCTTGTTTCATCAAATGCAGACCAATTACAAATAAATGAGGATATTCGCTCTTTCTCAAATGCTTTTTCTGTTTTCGTTTCTTTAGTTTCTCTATCTCTCATTGGGGTATTCATTTGATTTACTTTTTCTCTAGGTGTTTTTTTCTTCTTTTCTGCTAGTTTGGTATTTGTTATCTTTTCAATTTCATCAATCGTATATGTTTTATTTGTGTTTCTCCTTTTTCCACCACCGGTATTGATTATAAAAGAACAGCTTTCCTATAATGAAACAAAACTTGTCAGTTTCAAAACTACTAGCGGCGCCAAAATATAGTACAATCAGTCTTTTTTTTGCAATAACTTAACAATGATAAGCGCTATAGAGACTTGCGATCTTCAGCAATCGAAAGTAGACGCTTGAAGCTAACTTTACATAAGCCAAAACTAGTTTGGAAAAGATTCGAAAACTGTGTTTTCAGCGAACTTTTTGAAAAAAAGGGTTTTCCCCGAATCGATATGATTCCCATTAGATTGGGTCTGCAAACGGTGAAAATACATGGAAACATAGGTTGTCGACTATGCTGAATCTCGTGACAACATGTTTTTTTCAAAAAAGTTCCAAAAACCTAGTGAAAACGTATGTTAGGTGAAATATCCCATTTTTGCCTATTTTTGAGTAAAATCAAAAAATACATAACCCAGTCAGAATCCAATCAAATTATGTCAGAATATCAACATGTGCTCTATTTTATCTGCCATAAACGATTTTTTACTTGAGAACAGTAAAAAACATTCTTGTACTTCGGAAGATTTCCAGAAAATCTTTTAAAACCAAAGTATTTTCTGCTGGTTTTATTGAACTGCACAGTATTGAGCAGGTAAAATAGAGCACATTGATATTCTGACATAATTTGATTGGATTCTGACTGGGTTATGTATTTTTTGATTTTACTCAAAAATAGGCAAAAATGGGATATTTCACCTAACATACGTTTTCACTAGGTTTTTGGAACTTTTTTGAAAAAAACATGTTGTCACGAGATTCAGCATAGTCGACAACCTATGTTTCCATGTATTTTCACCGTTTGCAGACCCAATCTAATGGGAATCATATCGATTCGGGGAAAACCCTTTTTTTCAAAAAGTTCGCTGAAAACACAGTTTTCGAATCTTTTCCAAACTAGTTTTGGCTTATGTAAAGTTAGCTTCAAGCGTCTACTTTCGATTGCTGAAGATCGCAAGTCTCTATAGCGCTTATCATTGTTAAGTTATTGCAAAAAAAAGACTGATTGCACTATATTTTGACGCCGGTAATAGGAGCCAATTACTATGTTTTTCGAAACTAAAAAAGACTGAAGTCATATTCAGTTCAAAAATATTCTGTGCAATTTACATCCGCGCAGT